TTTTTTTTTTCACAGAGGATCTAAATGGCTGGGCCTTACCTTATAACAACACATCACTGGCTTTGAGTTCTGCACCCAGTCTTTTAATAGTTTGCCACGGCCTGTCTTCTTCGATTCATATTCATGCACATCCGTTTCCGGAGTTATGTCCTGATGTAAAATAAGTGCACGAGAAAATGCAAAAAAGAACGGTCTCTAAAAAATAGGAAGCTGCATCTGTGCCTAGTACTATCCTGGATAAAAGGATCTCTGTGCTGTTCAGGATGCTGTGTTAATTCTAACCACCACGAACTGTAAAGCAAAAGCGACCGTGGCAAATTTACCGCGTTGAAATTAATTAGATGGGCGTGAGAAGCTAAGGTAAAATTATCAGCAACAGCCCATATCTATTCGAGACAGATACCGATTTTCTTCACTTACTGTTCTTTTTAAGAAGCTATCGTCATAAATATCGATCACCACCACTTCACGCTTTTTCAATAATGTCGGGCTTAGATCCAATGCCTGAAACTGAAGTTATTTACGCAAAAAAAGCAGAATGTTCGAGCTTGAAGACCAGCATTTGAAATTTGCACTGTTTTGTGTGTTTTCATGTTTAATTATTACTGCATGCGAGTCTATTTCCGTGTGTTTTTGTTAGTCTCTATAGCGTAAAAAATACTAGAGCTTATAAGCTGGAATTTTTATGAGTTGCTTCTCGATTTTGCATGTGATTCAAAGCTGGAGTGAAGAATTGGACTTCTCCCTACTTCGTAAATTTTTTTTTTGATCTTTGATACAAAATTAATATTGAAACTCGAAAACTAGTGACTTAAGTTTATTTTACCGCTACATTTACTGAAAGAGACAGAAAAATGTTTTTCCAAGCTAGTATTCACTGTGAAAACCATCGCATTATGCAAGCACTGACACATTTCTGCTTGTACACACCCGAACAACTGAATGCAACAAAATTTTATTGTGCCAGCCTTGTGTATGATTGCACTGTTTGATTCATCGTCAAAAAAGTCGACCAAATATTAAAGAACTATTTTTTAGTGTGACTTTCGAAAAAAATTGTTGAAAAGATGAGGTATGAGGAAGAAAAAATTCACTTATTCTTTTCTCTTCATTCCTAATGCGTGCTATTATTATGCAGACTGAGATAAAAGGGCCTCAGTCAAAGAAGAACAAAAACCTAGGTAGCAACGCACCATGCTTGCCGTGCGATCATGCGTTTTTCCATTAAAATTGAAGTGACTAGATCGTTAACAGTATAAATGTTTGCTGCTTTACAGCCTAACATGTGCACTCATTTTGACAGTGTTATCGTTTTTTCTGCATACAGAAGGAAAAAGGTGTCAGCTAGGATGGCAGTATTAAATCATAAGGCCGCATGTAATCTTAACCTCAAACACGCATGATTATTATAAATTCTACGTGAAGAGGAATGAAAAATTGGCTGTTACCGGTTGGTCATTGAAAGTGCAAATTGGTCATGGTGCAAGATGTGGAAAGGATGATGAAATCGCATAAAAATTTCGCGTACCCGTAAGTGAGAGCCAAACATACTTAGGAACTGAAGTTGATGCCTAGATCATACGTAGATAAGAAAATCATGAAATTTTTGCCTCCTAGCTTATATGATTTCCGAGTTAATTTTGTTGCCAAAAATTTCACCTTTCGCACATGCAAACCAAGCCTATTTAATGGCTGAATTTGAAACCTTTGCACTGCACGCGGTCAGAGAACATCCTTTCAAAATTTCAGCTTCCTGCTTCCCGAGTCAGCAATTTCCCCGCTAAAACTTTTACGTGCTAGTGCGCGGAGTTCGGACGTGCATGTTGGCAGCGCGGTCCTGGGATGGCGCCCGGCTGGGGAACTTGCTGGCAAAATTTCTGCTCGGAAGTTTGCCTGGTTGCCCCGTTGAAATACCCGGACAGACAAACACACACATGCGCATACCCAAACAAATATATGCACACAAGCACGCTGTGTCTCATCACAATATACGGTTTCTGCATTTGCATACATGCAAAAACGCATAATAAATGATAAGCCGCTAACATTCTCTGTTTCGCCTCTGTCTGGAAGGTGTAACGATTCGATACTGATATAGAAGCAGTCCTTCATGTAATCCGGATTCTGCAAAAAGAAAACTATGTACCACAATACCAGCTGTTAAAAAACCTATACTTGTTTGCTGTTACAAAATTACTTGGCTGCAGTAAGTCTGAACTTGAAGACAGTGGGAACTTTGTCAGTCCCATCACCGGCCTAACGGTATACGGTCATTGAAACAGCTCAAACATGATAAGCATAACTATCAAACTACGTTTAGTTTTCGTTTGGAATTTTACAAGTATGATGCTGGCAAAAGCTGTTCTGTCTTGCCTTGTTGCGGAAAGAGCAGAGAGAAACAAAATCGTCTGTGCAAAAAGAAATTAAAAAAAAAAAAAAAAATAAATTTGTAAGCAGAGTAACAAACAGTGGACGTACAGATCTATCTAAAACACATGAAACTTTACCTCAAAAGTGAACAAAATTGAGGAGGCGCAAGGTGTATCGCCTTTACTTTCAATGTAATTTCGCCCCCTCCCGCCTCCCCCCCTCCCCTCTCCCCAATCATCATGTTAGTTTTGTATGTAGTATGTGTTTGCGCATCACTGAGAGTTTGGACCTAAATCTTACTAGTTTTTACCTGGCTTTTTTCACGAGATTCTAACTTTCCAGCATTCGTAATTCCAGTTTTCACTTATTTGTTCAGGCAAATATGGTTTTCCCAATGTGTTTTGTGCTGCACCGGTGGTGTAAAAAGTATGAAAGCTGTGGAGAGGGAATAATAAGCAGATTTGTCCTAACTTTTCTGCTACCTTAATAATCGTTTTGCAATATGGAAACGCATTCCAGCATTCTTCGTGCAATACGAATGCAGTATCAGGGAATAATTTGCGCAACACCCACGGTGACTTTGATTTCGTCCGATATATTTTGTGCGTGTAAACACCCTTGAGTGAATGCCCTGGCCGCACCGTAGTGCTTGTGAAGTCGTCGTCTTCTAGTACCTGCAATCACTAACAAAACACTAACACTACCCGAATGGATTATCCATGTAGATCCTGCGACAGTGATGTACCCTCCGCCATGCGCGTCAGAGTTTCCAATATGGAAATTGGGTTCAGCAGTAAAAAGAGGAGTTCACCCTCAACATTAGTAAGACACAGTTGCATACCAAGCGAAACTGTGACAAACCCCTAAGAGCTGTTCTGCTGGCCTTCATTTGCTACCTGCATATTCTAAAACCTGGCCGCCAGACACGCTCATATGTCCTCTCAGCTGGTACGATCTGACTCTCCTTGATATCCGCGACTGCGAACAGTCTTTCAATTAGCTACTGTATGCTTATTCTGTCTTCGCCGCAATCCTTGAAAAATTATAGTTTGCTGCCGGCGCCGCCATGGTCAATTCTTCCATTCTGTGGGTAGTTAATGGTTTTCATCTGTCTTCCCTTCTTTCACAGCCAGTTTAAGAGTATTTTCGGAAGCCGAGCAAGACGTTATGGATTTACTCTGGCCTAACCGTTTTAGAGCTCAATAGCCTATCATGACGACGAACGCTTTGACTGCCTGCAGTTCCTTTACTATTCCGTAAAATGAAAATCTAAATCAGACTTTTTTAAATGAAATTTTTCAAACGCTCTGTTACCAATATCAGTATTTTCGAGGATTATGATTAGCAGACTGAGTTATCCGAAAATTAGAAGACTTAGCAGCACTGGCAATCAGCGGAATTTTGAAGACTCGCGTCTACTAAATTTCGCTAGGCTTTTTAATAATGTTGTGTGAGAAAAGCTGTGAATCAATGAACCATCAGATTGCTGGATGAAAAAGCTGGATTCCCTCAAATTGTCAGTGTGGGGATTTCGACACTTATAATAATCATTCCACAGTTTTTACCAACCTCAACACCATCACCGCCTCCTGTTTCGTTTTTGCTTGTTTCCGATACAGCATACAACTGTCCGCGATAATATTCATCCAGTTCAAATGGCATTAGAATACGAAATTCCTCCAAAACAGCACACCATATCAAGTAAGCTAATTCGAAAAAATTCAGATGGTTATTTAAATTAGATTCAACAATTTTCGTCAGTTCCACTTTTCTTCAACAGCTCGTTTTTTTTTTTTTTTTTTTTTTTTTTTTTTTTTTTTTT